GGTGGGAGGGGTGGCGGGAGGACCCATGCCAGGCAGAGGGATGAGTGCATAGTCCCTGCTGAGAGTAAGTGAGGCAGATGCCCAAAGTAATGGCTTAGGGGCTGGTGTGGGAGGTGTGAGTCTATAAGCAATTGGTGAGTAGCAAGAGGCAAGGTGGGGGGGAAATGGGGGTGCAGATCACTCAGGGCCCCCTGGGACATGGTGGAGGCTTCTAGATGTAATCCTGAGCGTGGTGGAAGCCAAGGAAGGCCACCTGCCTGCCCCACCCTGTTAAAAGCCTGGCTAGGCAGTTGTCACTTCTGTCCTGGACTCCAGTATTGGTCTCATTAGAGAAATGGGAAAAATGCTACTTTAATTTTGTAGGTGGCAGCTTTCAAGTTCTCCGGTGACAGGGAGGTCACTGTCTCTTAAGCGGAGTCATCTCTACTTCTCACAGCCTCAGTATCAGCATTTTTTATGGGGAAGCCTTCTTTCTTGTCTTTCTTGGCTTTAAGATCGGTAGCACAGAGCTGGGGCAAAAAGTTTCCCAGCCTTTGCTGGGTCTCACTAACAACCCCAACACTCTGGAGTTAATGAACTCAAGCCCTGCATTTTCTGAGGCCTCCAGCTCCAGCTCCTGTGACTTCTAGGACAGTGGGTGCTTCCAAGGTGCTAATTATGACTGACAAATCCTCGAGGGTCTCTGTTTCACTGGTGGTGGTCAGGGTCACTCTGCATTTCCAGTCCTGCAATTTCTATAATTTTAGCCTAGGCAGGAGTCCCAGTGCACTTCCACAGGTAGCCACAGGGTCGGGGGAAGGGAAGGTTCCCTTTTATTAGGGGCAGACTAATAGACTGCCGAATTTAACCTGAGGATGGGCTGGGGGGTGTCCAACCTCAAACCCAGCCATCAATCTGCCCCACCCTGATGTAGGCTGTCTCTCAGGCCCCCCTCAACATGCAAGGCAAGGCACAAAGCTATCTGTATTGCTATTTGTATATGAAAAGTGCAGACAACCCGGTTGGGCGTGGCTCAGCAGTTGAGCATCAACTAGGATCCAGATTGGGTTTGATTCCTGGGTGGTTTTAGAGCTTGGTCCCTAGTCAGGGGAGTGCAGGAGGCAGCCAGCCTATCAATGACTCTCTCATCACTGATGTTTCTACCTCTTTCCCTTCCTCTCTCTGAAATCAATAAAGATATATTTCATGAATGTCTGCAAAAAACACCCAAGAATTTTAGAAGAGTCACTGCTGTCCTGTGGTCAGGAAAATGAATGACTGG